CGTGCAAAGTCCTAAACTTGCCGAGTACAACGTCGCATATCCGACTCGCTGGCAACTGCGAGACGAGTCGGATTTGTGAATGGTCGGATTTATGAACTGCTTATACAAAATAATTTAACTCCACGCACAAATAAATGGGCCGGTGGACAAAAACAAAATGACGCGAGGATTCCTTTTAAACGGGGGGGGGGGGGGGGGGGGGGGTGGGGGGGGGGGATGCTTGAACGTTCATTATAAGTCGGCGAATGTACGCTAAGAACTCCGTGGCTGTGTGTGTGTCGAGGTCGGATGTTGGATTCAGGCTCACGGTGTTGCCAACACGAGGTCACGATTATTCCTGAAGCGGTCGTGGGCCTCCACCCCCCCAGGCCGACTCTGCCTCAAATGAGTACCTGGTGCGGTGTGTAGTCAACATCGCCACTGGGGGAGACGAAGGCGGCCGGGCGCGGTGCTGGCCAACCCACCCCGGTCCTTGCGAACCGACCTTAATAGGTGCTACTCGCCAAACAGCACTTGCCCCAGCAGTCTGTTGAGGCTATACGGGGGATCTTTGTCTTTGTGTGAAGCTCTCTAGAGAGGGACGGGGTCCACCATGCCCCACCACACAGCCAGTGGGGGGGGGGGGGGGGGGGGGGGGGTGTTTGGGCAGTTGCTGGATTGGTCCCAGTATCGCATGCGGGACGACTTCGTTCCTTGACCTGCCTATCTCATTTTACACAACTGTCGCGCGATTCAGATAACGTTGGTTCGATGGAGAGAACACAAAAACAATGAACTGAAAAGTGTGCACAGAAGCTCCGATAGATGCTCTGCGTATAATTGCAATGGTGCAGGGAAGGAAGAGGGACGATACGCAAATCAGAAACGTATTTAAAGTGTAAAAAAATAATAATAGGCTTTATCCTTTCGGCAAAATAATACAGCAGGTGTTAAGATGATTAAACACAAACACAGACAGCTAGTATCTGCATTAACCACACACGCTTGTGGTAAAACACCCAAACAAACATGCTCGATCCGAGCTATATTGATGCGTTGATATTTGCATTAGCTTTGTGTCGTTCGCCTTTTGGCGTTGTTCTCCGGTCCAACGCGACCGGCGGTAAAGTCACGTAGGTAGAAAAAATAAATAAAATAAACAAAAATATCACGACGTTTCGATCGCAACACAAGCGGTCGTCCTCAGGCAGAAAAAAAATCCTGCCTGTGAACGACCGCTTGTGTTGTGATCGAAACGTCGTGATATTTATATATATTTTTTCTACCTACGTGACTTTACCGAAAGAACCAAAGAGTATGGATTCCTGCAGTCACGAAAGCTTCAAATCAAGATTAAAGCACATTTGTTTGCATGCTTTACCGCAAGCACGATGGGGGGTGAATGCATCCTTGATGCCTTGCAATGCGCGTGTTTATTTGGTGTTTGGACATCTGTATTCTTGCCAGGAAGTGTAAGGTCTATTTTTTTGTTTATATACCGGCAAAAAGGGGGTCGCCATTTGGATATATAGCTACGGGAATTTGGTGGATTCGGACCGAACGAATCGTGGCTAAAAGGGACGGCCGTTGGATAAGACGAGCGATGGAATGACAGCCAGAGGACACAATGGACTGCATGCTATAAACTAAACAGTTTTTATTTTATTTTAAGTTACGGCCCCCTGAGCTGTGTAGCTCTTTTTAGATGCGATCTGACCACAAATGACAGCTCAACGAAGTGGCTTATCACGTGGAAAAGCATGGCACCCAAATACACTAAACGCGTGGTGACGTTGATTCTAAATGTGGGGTGAAAAACCGAAGGACCCGGAGAAAAATTCCGCACGACCACGGGGAGCGAGAGAGACACCACAAACTCCAAATATACAGTAGCAGCAGCAGGCTTCAGGGTCGGGATCGAACCCACGACCTCCTGCATGCCAGGCGAGGTAGTTAACATCTCCTAGCCACCGTGATGATGATGCGGGAGAGAGAGAGAGAGACACGCAAACTCCAAATATACAGCAGCAGCAGGCTTCAGGGTTGGGATCGAACCCACGACCTCCTGCACGCCAGGCGAGGTAGTTAACATCTCCTAGCCACCGTGATGATGTTTCGGGAGAGAGAGAGACACGCAAACTCCAAATATACAGCAGCAGCAGCAGCAGGCTTCAGGGTCGGGATCGAACCCACGACCTCCTGCATGCCAGGCGAGGTAGTTAACATCTCATAGCCACCGTGATGATGATGCGGGAGAGAGAGAGACACGCAAACTCCAAATATACAGCAGCAGCAGGCTTCAGGGTCGGGATCGAACCCACGACCTCCTGCATGCCAGGCGAGGTAGTTAACATCTCCTAGCCACCGCGGCACCCCTACCTCCATTAACATACGATGTCCCCTAATACGAGTTAGAGACATGGTATGTGGACAATATGTCGTCCGAACAGTTGAACCTATCATTATTTTTTATCAGTAGTTGACTATAAATGATCTGGCATCCCATCTCTACGCTCAAGCCAAATCAAATCGATAGGCGATGAGAACATTTCATAAGAATAATAACAACATAATAAAAAGTGCAGGCTGGAAAACCACACGTTTAAAACAGGACACAAAAATGTGTACGGGCTCGCGCACATCCTTTGTGCATAAGCTTTCACAACAACAACAAGAGAAAACAACCCATCAGCATTTTCCCGAAGAAGCGCATTGTGATCTCATCTTGTGGCCACCATCAAAATGAATTCGAGCAAATGTGTGACCGACTGACAGCGGCTGTCTCGAGCAAAGTGATGGATCATGGAAGATGTGACGTGGATGGAACAAAGCCCATCCACTGCCCCCCCCCCCTACCCATTCCTCTCGCCATCCCTAGGGGTATTACGGACGTCCAGAAATGTAAATAACACACGAGCGCGCATGAATCGCAACAAATCGCCGGGCGCACTTCCTACAGCATTCCTTGAAATTCAAGTGACCACAGGGGCCAGGGCCCCGACAAGAACAGCTGAGTGCCCTGCGTTACCGTGTGCTTTCCGTGGCTTCATTTATACATATTGATGATATGTGTGTGCGTGCGGTGTGAGTGGGTGACTGCGTGGGGAGGGGTGGTGTAGCGGTTAGCGCGCTGTGCTACGAACCCGGCCACCCGAGTTCGATTCCCGCTCACGGCCACCAACACGAGTGGCGATTATCTGAACCGGTCCTGGGCCTCCCCTAGGTTGGCTCAGCCTAAAATGAGTACCTGGTGCGGTGTGTGAACGTCAGCACTTGGGAAGACAGAGACGGCCGGGCGTGGTGCTGGCCACCCACCCGCTAATGTGCCGTGCCGGCATTCATTGGTGTTCGCGAACAGCACTTGCCCCAACGGTCTGTTAAACACTATACGGGGGATCTATGTCTTTGGGGGTGACCGTGCGTGTTTGTTTTGCTTGGTATTTATGGTCATGTGCGTACATTGAGTGCGGCCGATGGCTAATTCTCTCGGTATGCCACCCGATCTTTGTCAGGTCTCAGAAGTACAACGCAGGGTTCATACTGGACAATGTTTTAATTGGTGGACACCATGCGAAGCGGAATATTTGTAGGCTGTCGTGGCTAACGTGGTGGGGACATTCTGGGTAATTTAGCCGTGAGCAAATATATATAAGTATACTGTATATATACACGCTTATAGTTAGCGACTTTTTGATGCCATTAGTTGGTTGGCTCGTGTTCACAGCAGAGTTTGGAACGTTATATATATTTTAAATAGTGTGAAATGTACAACTATTACACACGTGGCATTTTATTGCGCGCATTCTTGAAGTTCTAAATTTGTTCACGTTGGTTTTCTTATACGTCGGACGGGTCCCTGCCATAAGAACGTGGACATGCCCGACAATCTCGATCAAGTGTTTTTTCTCAACTCCAGTCCTCGCAACCGCCGGGTGCGTGCATCGTGTTGCGGCTTAATGTCTACGAATATAAACGTTTGGTAATCAAACGAGGAGAGGTGGCGAGCGGGGGGCCCGACTCACGTTGACTCGTCTATGGAACTATAACAAGAGGGGGGGTTTTTTCACAGATAATATTGTTCGCGACATGCATACGTGTTAAATAGCCCGTGGATATTTTGATCGATTTCTTTTCAATCCGCTGTTTGTGACAATTTTGCAAGATTGCGCGCAACAATGCACTTCACTGGCGGTTATCAAAGCAGTGGCGGAGGTGATGGTGCTAGTGGTTATGGATGGTCTCAGTCCTGGGCCTCCCCTAGATCGACTCAGCCTCGAATTAGCACCTGGCTACGATGTGTAAATATCAGCACTAGGGAGACAAAGGCGGCCGGGTGTGATGCTGGCCACCCAAACCCCTCGCGTATCTTGTCGGCCTTCATAGGTGCTACTCGCTAACAGCACTTGCCCCGACAGTCCGTAAAGGCTATATGAGGAGGGGGTGGTGGGGGGGGTGTTTTTTGTCTTTGATTGCAGTAATAGTGACATGTTCCTGATACCGGTGCCAATGGTGGCAGTGATGGTGGCGGTGTTGCCGGTGTCATCGGCGAAGGGTGACAACATCAGGGTAGCGAGCGATGGAACGATATTTGAGAGAGCAGACACAGGGATTTGTTTGTTTAATAAATGAATCGACGTCCACGTGCCACACGCCCCCTGCGCTTCCTTCTGTCCTCCCTTCCCCATGAGCCAACGTGCAACTCTGCAACTCTACACGAGGGCCATCCGCGTTTAGACCTCGCTGCCAAGCCAGTGTCTGATTTCCAGGCGAGAATTTTGCTTAGTTGGGCATTTTTAAAAAAAAAAAGTGTTCTAACCTCTCATCGACCATGTCCCCACTTACCTCCCCAACCTCATCATTGCCGTGCGCAGCCCCCTCTTTACCTCCAACTCCTTCCCGACCCCCTGGCCCCATCCACCTCTTACCCACCCACTCTCCCACCCCCTCCCCCGATATTTTTATGTACGCGCTTATTTATTTATTTACTTATTTAAAACTGCCCAAACAGCTGTGCCAAGCAGACGCGAATTGAGTCAGCTGTACCAAGTGGGATGGATGGAGACAGGAGGCTGCGCATCCCCTCGCATTTTCTGCTCGCACTTCTCGACAGCGTGCCGAGAGCCGGCGGGGAGCGTGAAGCGGGACAACAAAACTGGGCGCGCGCGCGCGCGGGGACGACGCAGCGGCTGTCAAGAGCCGCCGACGCCACCGCCGACGCCACCGCCCCGAGAAATATTCGGCGTGGCGCAATTTCTCGCCGTCAAATTTTGCGGATAAATTTTTGCGGGTAAATTTTTTGCGCGCGCGCCCGCTCGCGACGTGGGCCTGGGAGTGACAACAGTTCTCTTGCTCGACGGTCGGCAAAGGCGTAGGGCTGGGGTGGGGGAGGGGGGAAACTCTTCACGGGACAAAACAGCCCTCGGTAAAATAGGTCCGTATCTCAACAAAGCGCTTCTCCGTTGGACAACCGCGCTTTTTTGTTTTACTCCGGCAAGGTGGCCCAGAAAGCGAGAGGCGGATCGCAGCGGAGGCTGTGGCAGGCGTCGTTTGGAAGACGCCACACGTTTCCCCTAGGTGAGGTGTCTTCTTCTCTCGCTCTCTCCTACCTCGCCTCTCCTATTGTGCGCGCGTGTCCCCCGCGTGTGTCGCTTCTGAGGTCCTGCGGGCACCAGGGTTTTCGGGAGCTGTATCGATGCTTCTGTCTCACCCCTAAATGTCTGCCTGCCTGCCACGTCTGTTTGCGCGCCTGTCCGTGAGTTTGCCCTTCCCGTCCGACTCAGCCTTGCGATCGCCAACGCTTTTTCGCAACTTGGTACAATCGGCAGAACCGTCAAAAGTGACTAAACTGTCACGCTTCGCTCTTCTCGTCCCTTTCCGCACGTACCATTTCTAAGGGTTTTGATGGCAAAGAGCGTCGTAGGTCTTGTTTCTTGCTTTTTTTAATCTCTTTTAATCTCCCCCCCACCCCCAACTGCCCGCCCCCCACCTTTTCCTGCTGGTTTTGCCCGGGGAGTTCCCGGAGCAAAAATTTTCACTCTCGCGTGAGCCACGCGCCGGTCCTCGTTGCCACGCTCGCTTTTTGCTCGCGACGATCGTCACGTGGACGCGACAGTGAGCGCTGGAAAACACTGGGCCGATGTTGAGCGAGCACGGCTTTGATTTACTGAATATAGGCACAAAAAATCGTGACGCTGGCGAACGTCCGAGCCAGCGTGAAGAGCGGCGCGTTGCAACGCAGCCGCAGTTTTAGCGCAATTACAACGGATGATAAATAATTGTTGCGTAGAAGTTCGTGCGCCACACGGCAGATTCCCCCAATGCCACCGACCCCCCCCTCCTCCTCCTCCCCCGAGTTTGATTCCTGGCCATGGTTGACGGTGGTGGCGAGTGACATCTGAACCGGTCCCTCTGGTCACCCAACCCCCGTTCACCAACCCGCAGTGACCATGTGGTCAAGCGCCACACACGATCGACACAGCATGTGGGGACGCCTTCATCCAGCAGTGGATTGACAAATCTGGTGCATATTATTTTTGATTTAAATTCAACATCCACATTTTTTTTTTCACAGAGCCAGCGACATTATCAGTTATTTGCCTGCGCACGGGCCATCAAACAATGCAAATACAGTATTAAAAATGGGCAATATATATATATTTTTTATGGCTGATATTTTAATTTATGGCTAATATTTTCTATAAAAGACTGACAAAGCCAGTGTAATCGTTTGCCATGGGTAACGGTACTGAAATCGAGAGAGAAAGATACACTTTTCAAGAAAGAAAAACATACAAATGATCGGTTTTAACCCGCACAAACACTCACCCGTGCCAAATTAGCGAGAGCACAGAAAGCCCGTTATCTAATCCCACGGAAAAGGATGACGTTGCAGCCCTGCCTGTACTTGCTCAGGGCCCTGCTGGCAGAGGAGCCTCCACTTGACAGAGCTCGAGACTGCCACTCTAGGGGGCACTTTGGCCAACTCTTCCACGCTGCTCAAACGACTGGGATCTAAACGATAAACTTTATTTTATTTGACCAGAAAAAAACAAATTATAGTCCAATGAGGTGGCTTACCATGTAAAAATGTATAGCAGCCAAATACTCTAAACGCATGTTTCTAAAAACCAGAGCACCCGGAACAAAAATCCACGCGACCACAGGGAGAGAGAGACGCGCAAACTCAGGGTCGGGATCGAACCCACGACCTCCTGTATACCAGGCGAAGTAGTTAACATCTCCTAGCCACCGCAATAGGTGGCTATACCCACACTTTTTTCTTCTTTTTGACCCACACCACTACACGTGATCTGCCGATCGACGAACCGTGTGATGCGTTAACGGGGTACCACCGGAGTCAGTTGATGGGAAGAAGGGATGAACAGGATGCTTGACCATCTCGCATCAAACGTTTCGGCTTCCGCACCGGCAGATCGAACACGAGCCGGCGACCTCCGCGTCGCGAGCCCCGTCGCACCGCTGCAGCGGCCGGCCGGCCGACCGGCCGGTGGTAGCGGCGGCGGCGGCGGCGGCGGCGGCAGCATAGCTCCGATCACATGGAAAGACTAAAAATGCGCGCGCGCTGCCAGCATTGTGAGAACAAGTTGCGTGGCCCCTACGATTGATGTGCGTCACGCCCGTTGTATTTGTGTCCGCTGTCCCAAAGGACACGGCGAAATAGTCGCCGCACGGTTCCACTGACGAGCAAAAAAAAAAAAAAACCAAATTTAAATTCGAAACGGCTCCCGCTGCTGTGGTCTATCTGCCGCCCGACGGGACGGCCCACGGGCAGCGCTTTCTCGCCGAGTGCAACGCAGCGAAGGCGCTCGCGACGCCGCGCTGCCTGGCGCGTTCGCGACCGTCGGCCCCGCTAAAACCATGGCCGCCAATAACCTCAAAATGTTTGCTGCCGTTTCCAAGTTCCTGGTGACAGCCCACCAGATGATGGACAAGACGAAGAAGGCAAGCCGGGGAAAGAAGGTCAGCAGGGCCACCTTCTTCGAGGTTGAGATCAAGGATGGCCTCAGCAAGGATCAGCTCTGTTTCATGGACAAGGTAATTGTCAGATTTTTTTTCTGTTGGTCACCCGTTGGCTTTAGGAGGTGCGGGCAACCCCTCTCGATGTGTTTTTTTTTTCCTTTTGGTGCGATGTTGTTTTTTAACTCGTTTATGACACGCTGCGTCGCGCTCTTCTTCATTCGGTCGCTTGCAAATGTTGGCAGAGGTCTGCCAATTGGGCCGTATTGTGTTTGGTCAGTGTCACTTTTTTGAAACTGCGAGCAAAAATTGGGTAGCAGTGATTTTTGTCGCTTTTGTCGCGTCGCATAAATGCTTAGAAGGGCTAAAATAAAGTTAAAATAACTTACAAACAAAACTTTAAGCGTGATTTTCTAGTCACGCGGTCTCCTACATTCTCCAATTTAAAAAAAATACGGCCCAAACAGTAGGAATTTTGCTTAAGAAAGTTAAAACTCGGTACTGAAGATTAAATGTAATAGTGCAGTCGCCTTCATATCCTCGTGGCCCCTTGGCTTCAGCATTGCATGATGAAGCCTCCCGATAATGCAATTTCCATGTTTTTCCGTTTGATTAATGAGCTTAATAACTGTCCCTTCGACCGGCAGAGTCCGTCTAATGCAAACCGAGGGCCGATTGCCAACATGGTCAGGTGACGTTCAAAAATAACTTTCAATGTGCAAGGCCAATGAGAGCCAACTTTGTTGGATTTTTCAAAATCTCCTGCTTATATAAACGTTTTTTTCTCTTTAATTGTCATCATGGGCTGCCGCAAATTATTATTGAATCGCACCTTCTCCTTACGGGCCTTGTCAATCAAAGCGCCCAGCCCGGGACGTTTTAGCAGATTTTGTGAATGGGCCATCTGCCAGAGTCCACGAATGAATTCAGTGGTGAGTGCCATCTGGTTGCTGTGCGCACAACTCACGGCTCAAAAAGGCCAAGTGGCCAGCAACGAAAACAGCACCGTCGAAGTTGTAAAAGATAAGTGGTCGATACTTTTTTTAGTTTTACGAGCAAGGGGAAAAGACAGACGACGATGGTCAGCGATTCTAAAGTCGACGCCAGTGCGAGGGAAGACACGGGAAGAGAAGAGTTTGTGACCTGCGGTGTTGTGGTTGAATGCAGTGCGGATGAGATGACCCAGTCAGTCTGGCAGACTGAGTTCTCAAAATGGGTGGAAGAATCGATTAGTCAATTTCAGGTGAACGGTAACCGTGTGGTAGTAGCGATAGAAGAGCGACATGGAGGTGCCTGTCCGCTGGTGAGTGATATCTGGAACAGTCGTATTCTCCCGGTGTAGCGGTTCGGTTTAAACCTACATTTTTATTTTATTTTACCAGTTAAGGCCCACTGAGCTATGTGGCTCTTTTTTCAGAAGCGACCTGACCACAAATGATTGCTCAAAAAAGTGGCTTATCACGTGGAAATGTATAGCAGCCAAATACTTTAAATGCAAGTTTTTTTTTTATGTGGAGGACCCAGAGAGAAATTCAAGCAAACAAGGGGAGAGAGAGAGAGAAACATGCAAACTCCAAATATACAGGCGTCGGGGTCAAACCCACGACCTCCTGCATCCCAAGCGAAGTAGTTAAAATCTCGCCACCGTGGCACCCACGTGGACCATTACAGCACACGGAGAACCTTCATTCAGCAGTGAAATAACAAAGCGCTGCAAATTCATTTTAAAAAAAAATCCATCTATGAATATATGGTGTTTCATCAATGAATTCATTCCTTTACAATCCGGCTCGTCTCGTATATCCCTTCTGTGTTGTGACGCGCAGGTTGAGCCGACGGTCACCGTCGCTGAACTCAAGGCCATGTTCCAGAAATCCTGTGAGTTGACGTCGTCGTGCGCACGCGCGGTGTGGTGTGACGCGGTGTGACGGTGTGGTGCGACGCGGTGTGACGGTGTGGTGTGACGCGGTGTGACGGTGTGGTGTGACGCGGTGTGACGGTGTGGTGTGACGCGGTGTGACGGTGCGGTGCGACGCGGTGTGACGGTGTGGTGTGACGCGGTGTGACGGTGTGGTGTGACGCGGTGTGACGGTGTGGTGTGACGCGGTGTGACGGTGTGGTGTGACGCGGTGTGACGGTGTGGTGTGACGCGGTGTGACGGTGTGGTGTGACGCGGTGTGACGGTGTGGTGCGACGCTGTGTGACGGTGTGGTGTGACGCGGTGTGACGGTGTGGTGTGACGCGGTGTGACGGTGTGGTGCGACGCGGTGTGACGGTGCGGTGTGACGCGGTGTGACGGTGTGGTGCGACGCGGTGTGACGGTGTGGTGTGACGCGGTGTGACGGTGTGGTGTGACGCGGTGTGACGGTGTGGTGCGACGCTGTGTGACGGTGTGGTGTGACGCGGTGTGACGGTGTGGTGCGACGCGGTGTGACGGTGCGGTGTGACGCGGTGTGACGCACGGCCCCCAACGCGTTTCGAGTGAAGAGCGATAAATCCGGCGCGTGAGGCGGCGGGTGCGTTCCTCACACCGCCCGTTTACGGTTGGGTGGAGAGGCTTGGCGTGCCAAGGTTGGCACAGGCCCTGGCGCTAGCAATTAAATAGATGGGGGGGGGTGGGGGGTGGCGGCTCTGTACAATTACACCCCCCCCCCCCCCCCCACGGAGCTGGGTACTGGGAAGTGTTTAATGTTTAGTGAAGCCGAAGCGTCAGGCCGAGTATCACAAGGAGACAACGGCTTGTGAAGTGTAGCCCAGTGTCTGGGCCCCCTCCGGGCCTGCCTGTGGGCTCCAGTGTAATCGCACCGCCTGCACACTCGATAGCCACGCTACGGGTTTGGGTTGATTTGTACGCACGTGTGGATATGTCCGTTGACATTTTTTTCGCTCCGCACTTATCAGAGATGCAATTTGGGGCAGGACGAGGTGACAGCTGCCTTCATTCGCAAAATGCTTCTCCCAGCCACTGCTGCTCAACTTGAGAGATGTAGGCCCAGTGTTTACATTCCAGAATGCATCGGGTTTTTTTCCCCCTGCACTAAAATTGTGCCTGCCTCTATAATGGTTGCCCCGATAGAATTGACGTCACGTGCTATGGCATTCAAGACATTTCTTCGGTGATCTGTTGACCTCAAAGTCATATCCCTATTCCTTTCACTGTGACGGGGCTACGTTGTGGGCAGCAGAGGTCAGGGCAGTAACATCTGCTGTTGTGCTGTACTTCTACGCGTCCACGTCTACGCACACCCGCCACCACCAACCCCTACTGACCGGCGTGGTGAAATATGGTAACGATTAACTCTCACAAACTACGAGACCCTCATCCCCCAGTGGGCATACAAAAATGACTGCACGTGCACTTCTGAGGAAGTATGGTCACACAACTCCCATGGCTGACATGGCGTGGGAAGGCCTTCATCCAGCAGCAGATTGACAAATAATAGCAGGGACCAGTCTCTCCAGGGAATCGATCGCTGATGACTTCCCACTAACTGGTGCTCATTCAAATGACTCTGGAAAGGAATTGAACCCACAACCTTCGTCGTGTTAAGAAGTGTTTTAACCTCGGAATTGCCACCAAACCCAAAGCGAGATCCTTGTTAAGACTTGGCGAGGCTTCCTTTGCCGGAGGGCAAATCACCTTGAATACACGCGATGTCATCAGATCTCTGAGGTTAAGTAGAGTTGAGCCTGGATGGTACTCGAATGGGGGAGATCGCCCGGGAATTACAACTGTATGTTGGCTTGCGTGATGCACAGTGATAAATATATATACACGTCAGAGCCAAAGTCAACAAATAAGGTTAGATGCGATGTGTCAGACAAAGCACTTTATCCTTTGATCAAATAATCATGAATGTGCCCGATCAGATCTGAGAAGCTAAGCAGAGCCAAGCCTGGTTAGGATGGGAGACTACCTGTCAACACCAGATGTTGTAGGCGAGGCCTGCGAGGTGAAACAGTGCCACAGCAATGGGATTCTTGAATCTAGCCGTGTGGAACTTTGAATGTCACATCCTCGAATGCACGTGTATTTTTCTCCGGATTCTCGAGCAACGTCCCAAACGGCCAAACATTCATGCGTGGAATTGGCCAAACGTTCCAATGCAGCAGGACTTTCCTGAAAACAAAAAGTATTTAGTCTCGGTAAGGCTTTTTGCTGGTTGAAGAAAGGTCGCTTTTAAAGATTCATAGGGGTTTTTTTGGTTAGATCGTGTAGGTAAAATTTCCAGTGATAACCCTCCACCACCCGACAGAGCCAATCAAATCAAGTTGTCATGTGATGGGGAAAATATGCCAATGGGTTTGATTTTCAGCAAAGATCAGTTAACGTTCAAAAGCAAGCAAAATGTTGACAATTGACGGTGGAGAGTTATAGTTAAACTTTTTTTTTTACATTATTGATCATGGCATTATTAATATTGGTATCGTAAAAGTGGCCTTAACCCCCGAGTTCTGGCCGTTTCCCCTGCAGGTTCTGTTTATTGCCTGGCTTTCCATACAACGGTTGGCACATTGGTGGGGATCTACGGATGAAATTCGCCACTTTACAAATGTAAATTACCATTATTATTTTCGAGCCAAAGAGCTGCAGTGGGAGGTTAGTTTTTGCTTTTTTTTTTCGTCCCGCTGCGCCATCACTCGACGTCGCGATGCCCCGCGCGTTCGTCGCCCGAGAACCTTCACCAATTCAGACGTCCGTCGACCGGCGGCACACGCGATGGGGGGGGGGAGGGGGTGGCGGGGGCCCTCTGGGTCGGCCGTCTTGCATCATCAGGGCACGAGGCTGCAGGAAACGATAAGTTTAGCCGCGGTGTCTCGTAAGGCCTCGGCGCGACAATAAAAAAAGAAACCCCCATAACCCAAACAACGACGTGAAAATAAAAATACGCTGAAAAAGCGATGGCAGCCGCGATTTAATTCTTCACCCGACGGTATCGCATTTCGCATTCTGTAACGTTGTGCTCCTTGTATTTGACACTTTCTTTTTTACTTTGCTTTAATAAGTTATTTACTTGAGTTTGCCGTACGTGTTTCTGATCGTGGCAATTAACAATGCGCCTGCCATCGGTTACACGCAAAAATGTTAAATGAATGACAAAAATGACAACGCAATGTGATCGCCATGCCGTCAGTTACCCCGGACAACATTTTGTAAAGCGCTATTTAAATGTAAATAAAAAATACGCTGAAAAAGCGATGGCAGCCGCGATTTAATTCTTCACCCGACGGTATCGCATTTCGCATTCTGTAACGTTGTGCTCCTTGTATTTGACACTTTATTTTTTACTTTGCTTTAATAAGTTATTTACTTGAGTTTGCCGTACGTGTTTCTGATCGTGGCAATTAACAATGCGCCTGCCATCGGTTACACGCAAAAAATGTTAAATGAATGACAAAAATGACAACGCAATGTGATCGCCATGCCGTCAGTTACCCCGGACAACATTTTGTAAAGCGCTATTTAAATGTAAATATCCTTTTTTTTACAACGCAACTTTTAAAATGAGTTCGTCGTGTCTTCAATATTTATTTTGCCAGCAAAAATAAAACACGGATCAAGATTTAAGCGAGCTACGATAATAATCACGATACGACACTGTTTGCAACAACAACAAAAAACCGAACGATACAATTATCGTAGAGCTTGTATAATGTTACACATTTTAGCGCATTACGTCAACCCTAAATAGACCCCGAAGCAAAAAATATAAAACGTCAAAAATCTGGAGCGCGCGGTTCTGGGATTACGGGCCTCGGGATCGCGGGTTAAGAGCGGACAATTATGGACGGTTGCACCGCAACAGCTTGCTAAATGTGAATGGCTGATCTAAAAGTTAAAGGCGCAGTCCTGTAAATTGCTCACTCGGACCACTGCTGGCAAAAGGGCCTCCACTTGTGAGGGAGCTCTGGAGAGTGTTTGGCCTATTCCTCCATTGCTGGCGAGGCGACCTAGAAGAGGTGTGAGAGTCACCCACACTTTACCCTGACCACAAGCGATCTACTTGATCGATTGGCGTACCCATTCATTAATTCAGCCGGGTTTAATTTAAGAAACCTGCGCTAATTGTCGCTACTGCCGCCGCTGGTAGATCGGATCGGAGCGGTGACCTCTGGGATTGCAAGTCCACATTGCTCCAGCAAAATCTACACCGGGCCCACAAATTGGAACGACGACAAAATAAAAGCAGCGTGAAGCACGCGGTTCCGGTAGACTAAAACTATTTTTTAAAAATTATGTTACCGGGTAAGGCCCATTGAAATATACAGCTCTTTTTCAGAAGCGACCTGGCTACCACAGATGATAGCTCAACGAAGTGGCTTATCACGTGGAAATTTAGAGCAGTAAAATGCTCTAAACGAACGCCGATTACAAATGCGGAGGGACACACGGGAGGACCCGGAGGAAAAAATTCCACGCGACCAGGCGGAAAGAGACTTGCAACTTCCAAACATACAGCAGGCGTCAGGGTGGACATCAAACCCACGACCTGCCGAGGTAGTTACATCTCACCACCGTGGCACTGGGACCGTGGATCAGAGTGAACTGTTACTTGCGGTTGGCCGCTCTGCGCGCGGCGCGTTCTATTTTGCGAGCGGCTGTCTAACCGGGAGAGAGAGAGAGAGGGGGGGAGGGGGAATAAGCATAACTGCTGCTGTCAGCGAAATCCTCCGGTGACACGGAAGATGCGAGCGAGGCGGCTGGCGACCTTCAGTGAGCTCTTTGCCGAATGTTGCTGTCAGGTCTGTAGAGAGAGAGAGAGAGCGGGGGAGAGCAGAAAACAGAGTTGTCCGGTTACTGGAAGACAGCGCCCGTGTTTATGGAAATAGCCCGACGTAAACAATGATAATGTTTTACAGCCGCCTGTCGATCAATG